AACTTATCGAAGGCATCAAAAGAAGGCATTAAAAGAAACAGGAGGAACCGGATCTTAACACACAAATAATATGTTCAGTCAAAATTATTTAAAGATCCTATCGTCAGAAAAAAATATCTCCGCCACTGGTGATACCAAAACATAGCCATAAAGTAAACGATAATTTCAGTTACAAGAGCACCAGTTTTAATACATAAGCTATGAATAGCAAGCACGCTCCCGTTGAAATTCCAGTGCTGTCGTTATACAACTCACGTTCAGAATCGCTTTCTACAAGGGAAATCCAAAACCTAAAACAACTCCTCTGCCTGAATTCACAGAAATGTTGATCTGGTAACTAGTTTTTGAGCATCACAATGATTATCACATCAGACGTAATTAGAGCGCTAGATTCAAGGTTAGCTACTCACTGTGACCACAAGTGGCTGAGACAGTGAAAGAAAAACCATTTTGAGAGATCAAGAGCGACAGGAACAATGCAGTAAGAGTTTTGGCTAGTTATGTGATTGTTTACATGATTATAATACCATTTCTAAGTAAGAAGCACTTTCATGTTATCGAGATAGGAGTGTGGAAACAGAATTAATTGTATTAGTTGCGAATTGCAGTCGTCAATGGTTCACCATGTACAGTTATATAAGGGCTTAAACAAAGGTAAAATGTTTATACCACGTCGAATCAGGGAAAAAAGAAGTTAAGTATGAATCTAAAAGGAGATGGTACCAGAGGAATGCGGGATTTAGCAATATCCTTAAGCAAGGTTAAAAAATAGAAACATAACTGACGATAAAAGCTAACTTCGGCGTTTATACCTTTTTGATACACAAAAAGGGGAACACTACATCTGCTACTGAGGAAAGTTGAAAGTAGCTCAACTAGGATGTAAATAAAATTTCCAAATTTCGTGTTGGCAAATTCCGTACAATAGCAGCACATACAGGCCGTCCAAACTCGTCATAAAAAGTGCCCAAATAATTTGAAGCCTATGGTGTAGTTAATGTATAAGTGTTTAAAAAAATGTAGTTTGGTTTCGAGAAGTAGTGAAAAATTGAACGCATAATATGCAATATTTGATCCAATTCCAATGCATTTGTTAGCCCTTCCACCGCCATAAAAGTAACTGCCCTAACGGACGCCACAATAATTTTAGCTTTGAGAAATTGGTCATGATATTTTAATAACGCACCAATTTCTGGAGGCAGCTCAGTCAAATCATTTTCACCAGCCTTGAGGACTTTCAGCTCACGAAGATTGCTGCAAGGTAAAAAAAGCTCCAAAACATATCCAGACAAAAAGAAGAAACTGCATTTCATAGTTAATACCGTGGAAAATTTTTAAGATCGGCAACAAAGTCAGGTACCACTTTAGTGGGATTAATGAAAGGCGGAATTCAGTGCATTAAATGAAATGAAAAAACCCTTACCAGACGTTCCATTGGTGGAACTGAGTAGGCTACAAGTCAACTTAAGTTCTAAAACAAACTGACTTTAATAAATCGACTGTTTCATGGAGCGTGGTAGAACAAAAGGCATCTGAATCTCCTTTGATCCGATTCTTAAGCATATTTAGTGAAAGAAGTCATCCAATTGACCGAGAGAGCCATTGATTGGAAAATTAAAATTGATAAATTTATAGCTGACAAAATTCTGCAAAAATCGAAGGAAGATCAATCTGAAAGAGCCAGACGTAACCTTTATGCCACTGAATGAGATGATCGGAATACTAACCCACCCGATGGAAGGCGGAAAGGTTGTGAGACGGTTGCAAACAACGTTGAGGTCTTGTAGATTCACAAGCTCGCCGAGGGTTGATGGAAGAGATTCCAGTTGGTTTGACTCAAGATCCAACATTCGCAGTCGCTGCAGCTTGCCCAAAGTGCTTGGAAGGCGCTGAAAGGGGAAGGGGGAATGCATCTCTTCAACTAATGGACAAGCACACCTATATGAATGCTCACCATCAATCAACACGCTAACGGCGAACATGGCTGTCCTGGGGAAAAAATAAAGCGAGGGGAAATAATTTGCTTTGTCAGTAGATCTTCTTGTGGATGTTGTGATCAACGCCAAAGATGAATATGGAAATGCAGAGCAGTCCATTCATTCAAGGTACTAAAATACCTAGATTTTTGACTTTGATGAGACGAAAATTGAAATGGCTCGAACTCATTCTTAAATATAATGCATTTGAAATCAACTATGCAAAAGTGATTATTGACGACTTCATAAGAATGTTAACGGTGTTTTATCCGTCTCCTAGGCGGAAGATGATTGGGTTATGAAAAAACGCGCAAAATTAGTAGAAACATTGTTTCATATAGTTCCATGTCCATCTGCATAGGTCGGACCCTTAAAATATATTAAGTGAAAAAATAATTCTTTTGTTCGATCGAAAATAAAGCCAGACTTTTACAAGCATGCACCCCTACTACCATAATTTTAAGCCGATAGTGGAGATCAAAATTACTATATAGTTGATCCAAGAAATAAGACCCAGACATTAGATTTGGAATTGAAGCCACGAAAAATAGAATCGACTCTGACCCAGATTATGATAAAGTGAATATTAAACCTAAAATCCCGAAATGAGGGATTCCGCTTACCGAATACAAATTGCAAAGTCGCGACAAAACATACAATTTTAAAATTCTAAACCGAAGCATATGATTAGGTAATCGACTTCAAAAACAGCTCTATTACGCAGCGAATGACAGTATTTCACCAATGGCACCTTTCAGCAACTGAGGCATTGACATTACATTCGCAATCCCTTGCAGTTACAAATTGTATTTTGACCTCACCTTCAGTTGGTTGTAGCTCAATCTGAACAGTTCCAGTGATTTCAGAGCCTCTAACTCGTCAGGCAGACCGCAGAGATGGTTAGAACCGAGATCCAATTCAACTAAATTATCCCAGTGACGCAAGTCTGAAAGAGGACAGCAAAAGTGCCAAAAAGCTACCTTAAGAGGCCGGACTTGGGCATCTTTAGATAAAATACCTACCCTCAGCGTGGAGGTCTGCGATCTCGTTGTCACGAAGATTGAGCCTCGTCACTTGACCAAGATGAGAGAGCACATCCAGAGGTATCTCAGTAATTCTGTTGTGGTCCATATTTAAAGACTTAAAGTAGAAAGTGAGGTGATAGTGCAATAGGCAGACCGATTTTCCGCTTGAGGGGCATAAAATAAAGCCGTACCATAACGTGGGTGTATTGTTCGCAGGTACCCGGGGGAAAAACGCTGAAGAAATTTCGTGAAAAAGTCACATTTCGGACCGATGACATGCTGTCAAGCAGATGCGCCTATACATGGTTAAAAAATGGGAGTTAAAATGAGTACCACCGAGCCAAATCATTGCCTTTCCCAACATATGTTGAAGTTAATTCAAGTCCTCGATACCACCTTCTCGACTAACTTAAAGGAGCTTAAAAAGTCGGCATACGCTTCTGAATTCAAGCCAATTATCCCGAATTTAAGTTAACTGACGCAGAAACATCAAGTTCAAATACACAGGCTCGCAAACTCAACACCATTAAAATTGGGAAAAGTTGAGCAAATTCAGAATCATACTAATAATATAACAAATAGGATTGAGCTAACCAGTTATGGAAAAACACTCAAGGCGAGCTTTATCCCCCGGTTGAACTCAGATTCATAGTATTGTAGCATAAAGTGCTCTAAGAAATGAAAGAAACCAATCTGTTGGGTAATCGGTGCGCACTGTAGTGCGTAAACGACTATATAATTTTGCGTCGCTATAGCTACTTTGGATCAGTAAAGGGCTTAACTTTATTAACCGCGGGGATCGAACGCGAGATCCCAATGCAGAGCTTTAAAAAGATGACTTGGAAAACGGTAGGCTTCTCTACAAACAGATTAAAACTCAGCTAAAGCATTCAAGGGACCTAGACAGAAGGGCCCTTGCGACTACTGCGACGTTAATACCAACTTCATGTGCACTAGGCAGATTTATAAAATAGGATTGACCTTATCAAAACAGCCAAGAATAATTTTTAAATTTTTACACAGGCCCCAACCAACTGCAACGCAACGAATGGCCGACACCAAGGTCACATTCTGGAGAGGCTGGACCAATGGTGATTACGAGTTACTTAAATGCACATAATTTACTGTCGACTGCTTTGTTGTACGATTTTGCGTGATACATGTTTCTCTTCCAAAAGCGTCACGTATGCATCAAACGGAGGAGATGATAAAGTACAGAGTAGTCATGCCACTAAATGGAGTCCGGATTCAATGCCTTAGAAATCCACTAAAGAGTGAAATGGGTCACCGGCATACAGTTTTGCCATTTAATTAGAAAATTCTTAGATTGCAAGATCATCGAGGCTATGCAGAGCATTTAATGGAGACTGATTGGGTTGGCTCGATTCACCGCCTGATTAGAATAACCGAAAGTATCGCCATTTAAGCAATTCCATCGGCCATAATCCAGTCAGACAGATAACAAATACACTGGGTTAAAGGCATCAGCGTTCCATCATTGGCAAGATAATGCAGCATAAAATTGCTCCTGAAACAATTGAAAAAAAAGTTACTACCGACGAGGAGGTGTGATTGCATTCCCTTACTCCTTTGGGAATAATTCAGAATACCTTTCAGAGGGAGTTTGTGTAACGTCAATTGTCAGCGAATACAAAATTGTAACTAACCCAACGATTTATGAATATTAGACAACTTAACTAGTAACCAAGACGACTTAAGTTGCTTTTAGTGTAGCAAATTACTAGCTTAAAACAACTGGAGGAATCGGAAACTATTTTAGTTTGTGTATTTTCGATTAATGTTATGAAGAAAACTTCAATCTTGAATGCTTCGACACAGCAGGGTCTTGCCATTTTTTGCTTCTATTATCAGTAGATCTCACTACTACGCTAAAGTCGACTAAATGAAGGCACTACATAAATGCTTTTCGAACAAATTTACACAAATCTACTTCGAGCATATCATTGACTTATTTACAATAATTCGCAATGTTCCTTTTAGGCTGACGATACCAAATTATGGATACCACCCCCGCCCCCCGATATTTTGCCAATTGTAAAGTTGACATGCTGTGCTTGAAAATTACGATGATTAAATGGGTAAATAAATGGCTAGTGACGGAACACTTTTAAATTAATAGAAGGTTCTAAGAATGAGTTAATCCAACTGTACCATGCTACACATTCAGACCGTTTGGAATGTGTTAGATCAATACAGGATGAACTCTTTTAGTGCAACTTAATTCTTACACACAGAACATGGGGAGCTATACATCGAGTTCAGGCCACAAATTACTAGAAAGATTGCATAACTTGACAGTTTTGCCACACTTACCTTAAAGACAGTTAACAGTCGTGAAAACGAGTGTCTAATTATCCACTAAAGGAGGGCTAGCCTAGATGTTGGCTGTCGCAATGACCAACTCCAAGACCTCCATTTTCATTAATCACTTTAAATTACTAATAACTAGGTGTAGTTAGTTTAAATAGGCACAGTCCAGCATCACAAAGAAGAAGCGGTCAAGCTAATGACAGGCAAAGAAAAATGGTGGGTTCGTCGTTTGACCAGAAAAACGCATGAATCTCATGATGATCATTATAGAAGAAGCATGGCAAATTACTTACTGGGAGCGTGGAAAGTTGATTATTTTCAACATTAAATTCGTCCAGTCGCGTGCACTTTGCTAGTGACTCCGGAATCTCCACAAGGCGGTTGTACCTAAAAAAATCGCCTCTAGCATTTGAAACCACATAATTTGCATTTAAGCTGCTGACAAATCATTAAAATGCGGTTTCCAGTCCACCGGGTCTTCCAAAAAAAGCACAAATAAATGTTTCCCTAAACCAAGAAAACTTATGTCTTATTTAGTTTTCAGACATTGTTCATGCAACCTTACAATTTTAAATCCTGACTGTAATATTTGTACGGCAGAAACTGTTCTATAAGGTTTTAAAAATATTCAAAAATCATTCATCGACCCCTAAAGGACTCTACCTAAATTTGACCTCAACTTGAGATTGAAAAGTGAACTGTCGCATCAACTAAGGCGATTGTGGGGAAAAGTGATGCGCTTACTTGAGCATTAGTCGATTCAGATTGGTAAGGTTCCCGATAGATTCAGGAAGATGGGTCAGCTGATTGTAGTGAAGGTAGAGGTCTGTTAGCTGTGTGCATTGGCCAAGACCTAGCGGGGAGTAGCCTCATCAGTTGAGTTAATAATCCCATTTAATTGACTGATCGGTCCAGCTGGGTCGGTTTCGCAAGTACTAACAGCGGTAGAAGCCACAGTAGTTGTTTCACTGTGACTTCCTCAAAAAAAGTAGTTTAATCGATTCCCAAAATCCACCAGCTCTAACTATCAAAGGAACACTCCTCTGAAGAACTTTTGAAAGCAAATTATAGAAAAAATTCAAAAAAAATACAAATGGCCAAACAATGAATAAACAACAAAAATGGTTACTATGATCATTTCAAACCGCATTTGGTCTCCATCAGAAACATTGACGACCCGACTTAACATCTATGGTTTAACGAATTTCTTTGTTTACCATAAAACGCATTGACTAATTTCTCAAAACCAAGTTACCAAATTATAGGAGAGAAAAAGCGAAGGTAGTTGAAAAGGATTAGGGATTAGAAAGAGACAACTTACTTGCAGGTAGGGTTTGGATGTGGTTGTAAGAGAGGTCGAGTTTGGTCAGACATGCTAGCTGACCGATCGTGTTGGGGATGCTTTGTCGAATAGAGTTCCGATTGACAATGAGAATCGTGAGGCGCTAGAAAATGAGCAAAGCGACTGGTAGGAATGGGAAACTCGATTGTGTCTGACTCTTAGGAAATAAAGTGTTCTTTACGGTAGCAGAGCTTAGAGGTCCAGAAGTCACCTCCGACATCGTATCTGTAGGGAACTACAAACTCTACCCAATGTTTTACCTATTGATAATGAACCTTATCTCCTTCAAGAGTGAAAACTTTCACCCCTAAACCCCCTATTGGAGGGAGACAGATCAAGAACATAATAGTGATCAACCCTAGTTTACTTTTTCCAGCAAATGATAGAAAATAACGCATTTGCAAGTTATGACTCGGAAAGCTCCACCACGCGACACAAAGTGCAAAACCAACAGAATGAATGTAACAGCACTTAAATTCGCACTCGATCCCAATTTTGAATAACCTTTAAACAACTACGGTGATCAAAATGAAAAAGCAGTTGAAACCGCATTCCCGACCATCATATCATCCGGAAGGCCTTAAACGAAATTCTAAATAATTCCCTACAATTTGACGGATAGGCGTTTCTAAAGAAAAGAGTTTAATAATTACAACCTACCTGAGACAAACTAACAAAAGCATCAAAACTATGCACGCACCGGTGCATTTGGTGTTTGCTTACACACGTATGACTTCCGTTGACTCAACCGAGCCTATTTTTTACGCACAAGGTCCTTGAAGCTCATGCAAGGACAGAAAAAATTGTACACAGAAACAACATCCACTCAAAGAAGTATACTACGCCAAACAATTCAATACCTGGAGATTTTTTATATCGTCGCAAAGGACTCCAATTTTGTTATAACTAAGGATAAGCTGTTTTAGTCCGCGGAGCCCGTAGATACAGGAAGGCAAGTCGCCTTCGAGACGGTTATGCCGAAGGTCCAATACCTCCAGAGAGGTTAGCTTGGCCAGATCAGGCAGAAGTCCGGCGCAGACGATGGCGTTCTGTTGAAGCAACAGTCGACGCAGATTTGGTAGGCCTGTAAGCTGACCTGCTGGTAGACCAGTCAGTTTGTTTCCATTCAGAAAGAGAGTCTCCACATGAGGAAGATCCTTGAATATGCCAGTCGGTAGAGACTGCAATCCGAAATCAGAAAACTCCAGATAATTGGAGTCCTCGTCTTTGCAACGTGTCAGCTCTGCTGTTACGTCCTGAAACGATATGCGGTAGATATAAGTAAAATTTGGAGTTCACTAAAAAATCATGAATTATATGTTAAAAGGTGAATTAAATGAAGTGTGTGGCTTGGAAACTACTTCAAGCACATTCAAAGTTGGGTATGGTACGAGTAGACGTGGTCTCCAAGACTACTTATGCCAAGAAATGCAAGTAAACAAAACAACTGGCTCATTTGAGACATTTACACTTAAACAGTAAAAGGCGCTTTGCCGCAATAATCTCCCCAGTGTGCAAGCGACGATGAATTCATATTGGAGCGAGATCCTATGTGTTTACTCAAGGATAGGTATCCAAAAAGGTTTCAGGAACCTTGAATTTGGTATCCCAATGATTAGAAATGCGGTTGGCAAAGTTAAGAGTTTATGATCAAAATTCCAAAACGCGATAACGGTCGCGCTTTTGGCAATTAAATCCACCGACCCTAAATAAGAGCAGCTAACGCGCATTAGTTCGAAATGTGAAGCGTTGGAAGTTACAAATGATAGTCAACATTTTCAGACATATTAGACAGTTAAAAAAGTCCTACCCAGAGGCAGACACATGACGGCAACTAATAACGAGAAGTAAATGCGTGAGAAAGACAAACCGGTTGCTTCTCCTTCTTCAAGTACGATTTGGCAGATGACTTGAATTTTCTGCCCTCAAACTGCATTTGAACTGACTTCTTATGGCCATCGGACAACCGAAACCCAGCAACACGACCAGGAAACCGGATTGGCTTCGTGTTGCTATGAACAGACATGTCTCCGTTATCACCTAAGTAGTGCTCCTCCCTTCTGTAAACATTATCACCCATATCGATAACAGATGCATACGGAGAGCAATCCCGATTCGAGGATTTCGGAGAATTATGTTCCGAGGAAGTTCCTCCAGCAACGTCAGCTGAGCAGTCAAATTCTTCTATATGCTCCTCCTCTGAGTCCCCGAGAGGCTCTGTAGTCAATGGATCCATCTGCCTTCCGAAGCTATTCAAGCTAGCACCAGCAAAGCACCGGTAAACAGACAATCGGCATAAGTGTTGCAATAGTGATTGGCCAGAAATATCTTTATGGTAAGAGCTCTGATTAGCAAAAAATTATCTCAAATATTAAGATTCTGCGGTAGAAATAGTGGTAACCGGATGAGCGTTCATACTTTGAATCTCTTTCACAATGTTGTCAGAGATATATGGTCTGCCCACCAACATAACTGTGCAATAAGGGTTTACTATTTGATGGGACCAGATAATGTTTCCTTTTGAGAACTTTGAAGTACATCACTATGCCACAAAAAAGCATCATAAAAAGATGGAACTGTGAGCCTGATCTGTTAGGTTCTACGCTATGAGTGGAAGGAGTGTCGTTATTGTTTGCGAAATGTTGGCGTTTGTGAATTCTACTATTAACAAAAGG